CTGAATATTGTTGGATTATTTTCTTTAAGTCCATCAATAAAATGACAGCTGCAAACTCGGGAGTTCACACTTGGACATCTGTCAGACCTCCTTAAAAATATCAATATAATAATATAAACATTTAATTAAAGTCTAATTATGAAATATAGGTAAYACATACAAGCTAGGTGTACAATTTAGATAGAATATATTTAACAATCAAAATAAATTAATAAAACTTATAACTACCTTATATTTTGTGTCCATTTTAATTTCAACAATTTATTCACAGGAAATCTAAAAAATTTACATATTTTTGTTTCGCTGTAATGGTTACAATTTGGTACAAAACAATTGACCATTATGAACAACCTAYACAATAAATTAAAAAAAGTAATAACAATTTACATATTAAACAAAATACCTTTAAAAATATGGATTTGTAATAAAAATATTAATATACACAACTATAGTTTAAACTCACCTGCAGTCAACGTAGTTAAGTAATTTAACAATTGTCAAAATAAATCAATATTCGTCGTTTTTATAAAAAAAGAACGTTAAATCATAGTCAAGAACACAAATACTGTACACCGTAACTTGTTTAAAGAAACTTAACAATATTAATGCGATTTTTCTCTAAAAACTTTAAAATTATGCACAATTCTCATACAGAAATCGTTTTGTTTGGAACCAGATATCCTTATCACTAATTGATTATACTATCATGACGTCATTACTTCCATACTCTATACTAGCCGTAGTGTAATCGGACAGGTCACTACACGCTTAGTCGCGCGCGACTTAGTTCGCTGGTAAGAAGCGAGTAAATTCGCCCAATGTAATCCACCCATTAGTAGCATTTACCCTGCAGCTTGCCATCAAAATATGTATATTTTTAGATTTATCAGAATTCTTTAATATTAATGTTTTGCGAATGCGAACAAATCACTAATCACTTATCACTATAAYCCGCACGCCATTACCTAATGTAACGACGATCACGATACGAGTATTACGAGTTTATGACATACGTCCATTATACTAAGACCGTGCGTCTGTGCGCCCATACGACGTGTCTGCTGTCTGCTGTGTTGAATAATTTGTGACTTGTGTGCACTCATAATTAATCAGATTTCTGAAGACCTGGAGTTTATGCTGTTTGTGGTAAGTGAAATTCATTAAATACCTTATAAAGTTAAGAGGATGTTCCCGCATGCGTTGTCTCCGTCTTACAAAGGTAGAACGTTAGAACATAGCAAAAAATGCATTTGTGCGGGACAAATTTTCTCCATCAGAATTTCACAACGTATAGGTAAGATCTTTATCTGTGTCATARMGTCGTTATTTTTTTGATGGCACAAACCAATAATTTTAAGTAATTAAATGAAACAATAAAATTTAAATGTATTTTCTTAAGCTTATAACTTTAATTATATTTATGTTATCAAAAATAATAACGACGCTATGACACAGATAAAGTTCTTACCTATGTGTTGTGAAATTTTGATATTTCTATAATAAATACCGAGGGAGAAAAGCTGGCCTGCGCAAGTGCATTTTTTGCTATGTTCTACGTTGAGACAACACATGCAGGTGTGACATCCTCTTAACATTTTATATTTTTATAGTATATATAGTGCCTTATAGTGGTAGATTTAAACWTGGGTAGTGGGTACATTCATTATTTGGTATTTGAAAATTTAGTGTCTAGATACCACAAATCAAAATTGTTATAATATTATGCTTATGATTTTTAAAAATTCTATAAAAGWATAATCTTATTTTGTGGTAGATGGTATACTATATATTATATAATATAGTTTACTATTTTCCTCTACACCTATATACTATCATTATATAATTATATTTATATATAGATAAGTAGGTTAGGTATATAGGCTATTATGGACTGTGGTTTAATTGAGAGTGGTAGAGTACCTTTTCTTTTTTTAAATAATATTTAAGAATACTAGCTATGTCCCTCTGCTTTTTCTTTTCCAATTCAAACATTGACTATAGAGTTTAATATACAAATATACAATATACTGTTTAGCAGGTCAACCCCTTACTATTATACTATGTTTTTTTAAACTCATTCCTTACTATAAAAATAAATTAAATGTAGCAACCTACTACCTATAGTATTAAATTATAATAATTCATCTTTACATTGCATACATTTTAATATATTTTATTGAACAATTTTAAAATGGTATAATAAAAAAACATACATACCTACCTACCTATTATGTTGATTAACAATAATCCATTTTTTAATGAACACTGTTGTGAATATATACCTAAAGTTTGAAATAATATGTAATTGAAAAGACATCGAATTTTATTACCATATACTAAGTTTATTTATTCTTCTAATAAATATTTATTTAATTATTTAATTATAATTAAATACATTATTATATATAATAATAATAGTAATAATACATAATTTAATTTAGTATTTACCTCTCATTATAATACATATTTTAAAAAGTAGGGGTATAATTTGATTTAAATAATATTTAACTCGAGATTTATCTTAAATAAGTAGATCATCAACTAAATTAACTTGTATCAAAAAAAATGAAATACCTATATATTATTGGTGTACTTGAGGTACCTAATACTGAATACAGGGATAAATTTGAGTATATTTTACTTTATTTGTTTGATAGGTACTAGGTAGGTACTTACAAAATAATCTATGTGCTAGGCAGGTATAATAATAAAAAAATATATTTTAATAATAAATTTGATTTTAGTAGATTTTGTTAAGTTTTGATTGGTTTTGATTACTGAATTATAATGTCTACTAGAAGAATAGAGAGTGTACGCACTAAAAGAAGAAAAATTAGGAATGAAATAAATGTTGTCGAGGAAATGCTTTCACACTCAAATCCATTGGAATATGAACCGCCAGAAAATGTTCTGGAAATAAATAATTCAAATCCTATGCCTTTGTTTGAATATGATAACATTATATCTAACTCTAAGAGCCAATACAATATTTCAAATGAGTTTCCGTCAAATGATTTAATTGATTTGCCATTATCAGTTATCAACACTTGTAATGAGCCAACAGATACACAAACATTTAATAAAGAGAAATTGTTCATAAATTCATCTAAACAATTTTCAGTTCAGGAATTTATAGCTTCTTGGGCAATAGATTATAAAATTCCTCATAATGCAGTTAATGGTTTGTTAAAAGGTTTAAAAATGCATGATTGTTTCAATAACTTACCAATTGATTGCCGCACAATTTTAAACACTCCTATTAATAAATCAAAAGAAAACCGAATTGTCAGTCCTGGAGTTTATCATCATTTTGGTTTAGAAAAAGGAATTAAATTATATGCCCCATCAAATGTACAAGATATTCAAATTGCCATAGGAATTGATGGATTACCAATTTCAAAAAGTAGCAGCTCTCAATTTTGGCCAATATTAGCTTCCATTTTGGTTAAACCTCCACTTAAAAGATCAGTTTTCATTGTTGGCCTATACTGGGGAATTGAAAAACCCAAAGACAGCAATGAATATTTATTTGATTTTGTTACTGAAGCTAAACGTTTAGAAACCGAAGGTATTATATTAAACGGAATTAATGTTAAAGTAAATATTACATTATTTTGTTGCGATGCTCCTGCAAAAGCATTTGTTTTAAAGGTGAAAGGTCATACGGGTTTTTATTCATGTACTCGTTGCACTATAGAGGGAGAATATGTATGCAATCGAGTATGTTTTCCTTATTCCCAAATAAAACCAATTGAAAGAAATCATCATGCATATCTGAATACTGAAGATGAAGAATACCAGATTTCAAATCAAACATCTATTCTTACTGAATTACAAAGTTTTAACTCTGTAACATCTTTTACACTTGACTACATGCACTTGGTTTGCTTAGGCGTTTGTAAAAAACTTATCAGCCTTTGGATTAAAGGACCATTAAATGTCAGACTTCGGTCTTCAAAAATAAATGAGATATCAACTTTATTGGTAGCATCCAATCCATATCTTACGTCCGATTTCTCTAGAAAGAACAGAGGTCTTCAAGATGTATGTCGCTGGAAAGCTACCGAATTTCGTATATTCTTACTATACACTGGACCTGTTGTGTTAAAAACCATTTTGAATGAAGAAATTTACACAAATTTTATGGTTTTAAACATTGCAATGTTAATTTTATTAAGTCCTGACCGAAAATTTCTTCTTCAATATGCAAGAGAACTATTGGATTTTTTTGTCAAGAACTTTCAAAATATTTATGGCCAACAATTTGTATCACACAATGTCCATGGATTACTACACTTATGTGATGATTATGATTTATTTGGTCCACTTGATAATTGTTCAGCATTTGGTTTTGAAAATTACATGAAAGAAATAAAATCTAATCTTAGAAAAAATGAAAAAACTTTGGAACAAATTGTTAATAGATATTATGAAAAATATGAAAAATGTGTACTAAATAATTCAAGTAATAAATCATTAATGGACAATCAACCAGTTTTGAAACATGTCCATGATAACGGTCCACTGATCGATGATTTAATAGGTCCACAATATTACACTCTTATATTCAAAAGTTTAACCATCAAAATTAAAAAAGAAAGTGATAGTTTTATACTTACCAAAAATGGAGAAATAGTAAAATGCATGAATTTTGCTCAAAAAGATGGTATTATCATGCTTATTGGAAAAAAGTTCAATATTTTATTACCATATTTTGAAGATCCTATTAATTCAACAATTCTTGAAATATTTGAAATTAAAAATTTATCTAGTCACCTCAAATATTGGGCAATATCTGATATAAAAAAAAATATGATGATACTTCATCATAGTGGGAAAAAAATAGCTATGCCCATTATTCATACAGACATGTAAATAGTAAATAAATTGTGATTRTAAATAATATARATAAATTAAAATTATGTAATTAATGCTCTTTAAATATACATTTTCTAGTATAAATTTATAAATTGTAACTTCAAAATATCAACGTATTTTTAATAGTGGGTACATAATTAAATT